TTTAAAACATTTTTTTTCTTTGCATCTTTAATAATTAGACGTCCTGTTGAGGAAAAAGGTTTTGAAAAGGTTTCTGAATGAGCATTAACAAGTCTAATCTGCTATTACCTTTGTGATACGAGTGACATTGGAAAGGCCGGTCTCCTTTCATTGCTGCATATGGCACTATGTTGTGTAGTCATTGTATATTTTGCTGCACTTGCTTTTGCGGAGAGCGGAGATGGCTGCGCGAAATGTGTTTTCTCATTTCTCTCCCACCTCATCGATAGACTTTAAGCTTCAGGCATAGACAACTCTTCAGGCCACTGAGTGTCCACGTTAATGACGCTTCTTCCCTCCCCAGCGGTCAGTGTAAATGCACACGTATATACCAATCAGAACATAGAATAACACACTATAATCATTAGACTTAAACTCTGTTATGGTGTGATAACAAAAAAACAGCAAAATGTTTATTAAGTGCAAAGTTTTCATTACAGCACATTTCGTCTCCACCAACCTCTTATTTCTCCCCTTAAAAACCACTCAAGCAGGATGTACTGACCACCAATGATGGCAAAGTGAAGCTTTCTGAACCAGTGAAGCTTTCCAGCCAATTGTATCGGAAAAAGGTTAATTAATTTAATGCATCTAGGGGTTGAGTCGGTTTCTTAGACACTGTTTCCTCATCGTGCCGTGTGAGCGCGTTTTCATTTGAGCATTAATGCTCAAATGAAAACGCGCTAATACAAATAGATGTGGGTACACATGTTTGTGTTTGACCCAATATTATAGCGGTTCTTCACTCCGATGAATATTTTATTCAGCCAAATATCTGGTGGTCTCCACAATAAAACTAAACATCCATAATTACACAATACAAATTACAGACTTTGCCTGCCTATTGCCAACCTTGTTAGAGGAAATCAAATTGAAGTGCTGCCACATCTCGGAGCGACCTCTCTTTGCCACAGGTTCCATTGTAAATTTGCGCTTTGCTACTACTACTACAACAACACTGACTTTGACTGTATCAAACAGACAAGCCCGAACCCGTTTCCAGCCCATTTGAATCAAATCGAAGCGGTCACGTGACTGTGCGCAGGAACGAAGCTTCGGACGTCATTGATGACGTCACTGAACCGGACCAAACTTCTGACGTCACTGATCACGTGATCAGCAGCGAACGAACCGAGCACCGATACGATTTGCTTCGCCTTGCACTGGTTCATATTTCGACACAAGCTTCGAAGCAGGAGGGTCGGAGGTAACAACACTATTAATCTCAATTATTTACAAACAGCTGACTCCTCCCAGTAAGCATTTTTTGGTTGAAAAGACGTTTAAAAGACGTCTATGCTCGACGTTGAAAAGACGTTGCAAAATGGTTTAAAAGTGAAAGTTGTTTCAACGTCTATTCGTAGACGTTGAAAAGACGTCTATGTTTAGACCACATTTCAACGTGATTTTTTAATACGGTAATATTTCGTCTTCTCTTGTGTGCTATATCATTATTTTAGAGGTTTAAAAAGAAACTACGTCCACATTTGTAAGTTTACCACCGATATTATAAATCACGTTGAAAACGGGTCTATACGCGAAAGTTGTTTCAACGTCTACGAATAGACGTTGAAACAACTTTCACTTTTAAACCAATTTGCAACTTTCAACGTCGGGCCATAGACGTCTTTTAAACGTTGTTTCAACGGATAAATTGCTCGATGGAAACGTACAAGTTACATACTTAGTCACAGTTGTCATGTTAACATCCCGTAACAAGGACAAACACATTATTTTATTGATTTGTATTTATTATAAATATAACACTATACATATAACAGCACTTTGTCTAATTAAAAACAATACAGAAATAAAATATATTTTTCAGGAAAATAAATTATGGAATTAAAAGTGCAGAAACAACATTTCTTTGTTCAACAATTCTGTGTTTGTAGACCATTTTTCTGAATCATTGGAACGTCATTATAGATTCTGAAACAAGATGTGGCTCACTTGAGTTGGGATAGTATACCTGAAATCAGCTGCATCTCCCTCATCCTCACTTGAGGATTCTTTGTGTAAAGGGAGTCAGAGTGCACAGAACAGATTCCTCTGGTCAACGTGTTTATTCAATTCAAATAATTTTATTTTGTTCAGCTTTGCAATCTGTAAACATGCAACACCCTGTCCCCTAAACCCCAAAATGTAAAACACCTTCAACCTGGAGAAACCTGAGGGGAAAACAGTAGGGAAGAAGGTGTGAACAACTTAAAAGATGTACAGTACATCCGATTCCTACAACATAAATGATTCTAATATTGTGGATTATTAAGACAGGGGTAAGGCAGGACCAGTGCAGGGACAACCATCATCAGACGTAACCTCCATCAGATGCAACCACCACCCGCAGAAACCTGTGAGGAGGGAAAGCACAAAGGCAAAGTTGGTAATTTGGGTTTATGATGACAGTAATAAACTAATAATAATAACAGCAGCAGGTGCGTTAGAACACTCATTTATAGATGGTTTACTTATTACATTATAAACAAGATAACAATTCATCTGCAACTTATGGTATTTCTGGAGTAACATGTCCAGGTATATTACACAGTATCATGATTTAAGCAGCAGTAACTTACAATGTTTCGGCCTCTTCTTTACAGAGCACAACTTGTTGAATTCAGCCCTTCACCCTTGCAATCTGTATTTAGCCCCCATTGCTTTAAAAACGTATCTTCAGTGTGAAATGCAATAACATGTATGGGTACAGCAACAACCTAACGCATTAGTAACACCAAACATACGAAAAATATTCTGGGATGTTTACTTTTGGTCCAGGTCATCATGCTGCACGCTATCATGCTGCAAGCTAGCATGCTAACTAGCAAACTACCTGCGCTAACGCTAACTAGCTTAACAAAAAGGGCCGTCTTTCCCGTATCGGGTGGGCAGCACAAGTAAAACACCCGGTTATAGTTCCATGTGTGCTTCATCCAAACACTCCCGTACTTACAGAGTAGTGGAGCCGGTAGTCGTGGTTCTATCAGCCCGTTCATGTCGCTCTGCTGCCGTAACTTCGCCTCGTCCGCTCGGAGCTCTGCAGGCGTCTAAGAACTCGCGCATGCGCGTTACAGATGTGAGCGGAGTCACGTGTTTACAAGTAATGTTTGAAAGTGCCCGCATTATTATGCCTTAAACGCATCTTATTAACAGCACGCAGTCCGTAGTTTCATATTTATGACGTTTTAAGTGAAATATTAAATACGTTGAAATCACGTCTTCGCGTAGACCAAATTTCGCCGACCAGTTCATTAATTATTATGAAAATCTTAACGTTAATATCGTCTCTCTTTCAACCTTACGTTACAACATGACACATTTATCAACAAATTGACGTTTTCTGGCACGTTGATGTTTCATCCCATTTTTAGCCGGTTGAAAAGACGTTGAAATGAGGTCTTAGACGTTCAGACCTCATTTCAACCCGATTTCAACCATATTTCAACGTTGAAATTACGTCTTGTGCTCACTGGGCTGGTCTTGAAGAAATTTGAAAATGGGCCTTTCCTTTCCAATAGTATAACTCACTTCTCCACCGACTCAACCAGTTACATTTAATAAAATATCAAGAAGCATCTTAATTGTCACGGTTTGGGTTCATGTCTGGTTTTATTTTGTAGTTTCTTGCCTCTGTTCTCCCTGGGTCACATCTCTTCCTGCCTGGTCCTGTCTTCCCCTGTGATTGTTGTCGGGATCTCCGATCCCCCCGAGTTGGTTGATGAGAAGGATCGCCACACGTTGATCAATTAAAGTCAAAAAGTTAACATTTATTTAGAAGAGAAAAAGATTACATGAGCAATTCTCCGCAGATATCTGTCTCTAACTATTACTTGCAAGCAGGAGGTCCAACACACCAGCACGTATTCCAGCGTTCTGTGTAATGGCGTCCCCGAGCAGTAAAAACGCTGTTTTTATACACTTGAAGACAGTTCTTAGCGGCAGTTTCGAGAAGCCACAAATCAAGTTGAGATAAGAACTCAGGTGAAGCTGATGGTAACACACAATGCTCCTCTGATCGAAGATCCATGAGAGCAAGATGACCCCCTTCCCCAAACACTGCTGAAAACCTTAAATCTTTCTATCTCTCCATCTCAGGGTCAACCATTGAGACCTGGCTTTTTGCACCGGACAAATGTTTACAACATGTTTCATCACTACTGGCATTTCACATTGTCTGTCATGTCATGATTGTTTCCAGCTGTTTCCAGTCGTCTGCAGCTTCAGTGTATTTAAACAATGTGTTTCTGTTGTCACTTGTTGCGTCATCACTAAATGTTCGTTGGCAGAAGCCCGTGTCCTTGTCCATGTTCTTTAAAGTTTAAAGTTAAAGTTTGTTTTTGCCTTTTTGGAGTTTTGAGTTTTTGGAAGTTTTTTGACTATTGAAGTCCCTTTTGTTTCCCGAAATTCTCTGCGTCTGAGTCCTACCTTCCCTCTCCCCTCGCACAGACCCTGCTCCTGACATTAATCCCATCACTGTCACACACACACACACCAGTTCTTTAAACGGCATCACTTGGCATCAATGTCACATTAAACTCATTAAAGGTTCAGATCCCCTTCCAGGTAGTAGGTGCTTGTGATTTCATGAAAACAGTATCATAAGTAAACAAAGTCAAATGAGTTTGCCACAAGCCACAGGGGAGATACAGCCAACATGTGGAAGAAGGTTCTCTGGTAAAATAAGTACATGTTGTGAACAAGTGATAAGTGAACTTTTTGGCCTCAATGCAAACTGCTAAAACTGTGCATCACCCTGAACACACCATCCCAACAGTGAAATATGGTGGTAGCATGCTGTTGCAATAGTTTGATATTTTTAATCAAAACTACAAATTACAACCATATGGTGGCACTAGAAAAGAATGAGGGGATCCCAAAGTCATTAAGATTATTCTTCATCTACTGGACTACGTCACCAGTGGAACTGAAACCACTGAATGTATACAACACCAAACCAGAAATGTATAGCTTTGAATTTATTAGCCCAATATAACAATACAATAGTAAAAACATTAATGTCTGTCAGCTGAGGTGATCTAGTTGCTACTTTAAATGCGATCTTGTCTGCCAATAGTTACATTATAGTAACTTGAAAAACAAATTGCTGAATAGACAGATAAAAAGATACATGGCAATAGATCATATTCTCAATATTTAAAGTTTTCTGCAAGAATCTAGACAACCTGGTTAATCTTGTACGATACATCAAGACGTTATTGACGACGTGGATAAATGTGCATAAATAAAGCATGAAATCTCTCAAACCATAAAACAAAAAACCCCTTACATGTTTTCAATGGATTGTATATTAGTTATATAGTATGCATGCGGAGTATGATGGTTGAACAAACAGAACCCACCCTCTGTTATTGAGAAAAAACACATGAAAGGGTAATTGATTGAAATAGAACATTACCAAATCCCAGAATGAAGAAATGAATAATTAAAGCTGATTCAAAATGACATTTACAGCATAGAAAGCCAAGTGGTTAAGGACAGAGGAGCAAGGGCTCCTCCTGGTGAGACTTCTCAATTAAACGTCCTTTCTGTAATGCCGATATGTGATTTGGTATGCGAGGACATCGTCCACTGTGCTTTATACCAATAACCAGAATGTAATGTTGACATTGTGCTGATTCAGTATTGATTTACAAATAGCCCGTTTGGTATTGTAAAAAAAAACGAGTTCTCTGATAACATATAATGAACAAAAGATAATTGTAACGTTTTTCTACTTTACAGGGACCGCTCACATCAAGAAGACTACCGATTCACAAAGTGTGCTCAGCAAGATATTGATAATATTAGTAATCACTTCATTGAGGATGCCCATGTTAATCTAGCGAGCACTACTCGTCATCTTTAGTCCACTGTGAAAAGAGAACAATCAAAAACACAATGACAGCTATGACATAGGTAATGATGAAAACAATGTTGACTTTTTCAGCCACCCTGGTCCAGCAGCCGGCCTTATTTCCTTTCTTCCTTCCGTTGAGGACCCGAGTCAGCGTTTTCTCCACATCCCTCAGCTCATCTGAGATGTTCTCCAAAGCAATGGACTCCGCAGTCGGTTTGCTGCTGTCGCCCTGCAGGAAGGATTCAGTTAATTATTAATAAAAGAGATATGGACGATTGAATATTGAAAAAAGTTCTACATTTTATATTTTGTTTTTCTGTGCATTATGATGCAAGTTATGCTCAACAGTTTTTATACTTTTTGTTTTGTAATTTAATAGATCTTCAAGATGCAACACAACCTTTACCTCTTTGGTGACTGACAGTTGTTCGGCTGGAGTTTCATCAGCAGACGTGCTTTTCTTCAAATCTAAAAGAATACGTTAGATTCAATGACAGTAGAGAATATGAAGTTGAATGAGGAATTTGTAGAGTTTGTGCTTCATCCCACCTCACCAGCAGTGAGCTTTGCCCAATTTGTCTCATCAGTACTCACTCCGTCTTTGCTCTTCATCTTCCCTGTTTTCTTCGACTGCAGCGTCTTTTCCTAATAGATACATCATCAAAATCGTCTCCACCAGGCTCAGCATCATCAGACCAAAAACCCCAATGCAGTAGATTGCTGAAGGGAGAAGTTATCATCAATAATGTAGATGGCTAACGGGGGAAGGCAGCGTCAATGTGGACATATTGAATCAGTCCGGTTGATGCTCATGTGAAGTGTAGACTGCGACCCTCCTTACCAATGAGAGGAATCCTGTCTGAAGAGGCAGGCAGGATGTCATTGAGGATAAGCTGCATCACAGTGACAGCCAGCAGCACCGTGACCTTGAAGCCGAGCTTCTCGCCCCCACTGTCTGAGATCCCAAAGGAGGCCAAGTCCAGACCCAAGAAGAACATGATCGGAAGCAAGAAGTTGGCGATGTAGAGGGCAGACCGCCGCTTCATGGTGATCTGTGAAAGACGGACAAAGGTCAGTTAACGCTTCCATCTGCAACGGCCACAAACAGTCACATGCAGGTAAAACAAGATAATCGGACCCAACATGCGCTCGTCTTCAACAGCAGAGCAAAACGTGTTCAAGACGTTAGTTAGGTAGAAGTATTAATGAAACAGGAAAGTATTTATCGGTAAGATCAGCAGAGTCCATGTAAAACAGGCATATTTAGATCCATGAATATATATTCAGATTTATTCAAGCAAGAAAGGGAGGATAGAAAGACCTAAAAGTAGAAAGAAGAAAGGAAACAAATAAATAAATAGCTAGGACATAAATATGGAAAACTACAAAACATCAAACAAAGAAAGACACAAATAAAGAAGGAAAGAATGGTTGGAACAAGCAGGGAGATGTGACATGTTGCTGCTGCCAGGTGTACTGAAGATCTACGTGAGGGCCGGACTGTTGTTTGAGCTTATGAGCCAAACAGCTCTCACAATCTTCCAGGCCATTTTGAGTCACTGGGTTTTATCTGAATAAAAACTTAGGTAGTCTTCTGTTCATCTATCACTCCCTGTTCTCTCTACTTTTCTTTATTTGTGTCTTGACAAAGATTTCACAATGTATCTCCTTAATACAGTTTCCACATACAACTTCCAATTTTCTTCATGTTCTTATAACAGTGTATATCCAGAGAAACTTACAGTGTAAATCAGCATGGTTTTATATCCATTATGATCTTCGACCACTTTCTCGTTGCGGTTGAAGTTGACAAACAGCCACTCGGATTGCGTCATTCTTTCAAGAGACCATTCCATACTCCATTTGCTATCCGCCGAAGTTGTAATCTTCAGATTCTCAGCTGATTTGGGAGATTAAAGAAAGGATTGCATGATATTTGTGTTCCGGTGATAAGAAACCAAAGTCATTAAAACATTCACATTCAAACTCAAACAGTGATGAGAACACATTAACAAGGCACAGGAATTCATGAAACTGAACACAAGGTTTAGGACTCACATGAGTGTGCAATGGACTTGAAAGACAGTTTGCAGTTCTGGACGTCAAAGGGAAATTTGTAAACTTCCATCCTGCAACTGCTGACCACCACCATGTTTCTTTGAAGATAGACCTCTCCATCATAGTCAAGGGCGACATAAGGACTCATAGGAACCTTATTATCCTCTATCCTGAATGACAACAAACACAAGTTATTTTAACTGAATTTCACATTTTGCATTATCTATAATATTGTACAATATGACAAGTCTGGACCACAAAACTACACTGTAACTGTAAATGACCACTAGCATTGTTCTTTTATTTTGATGATCCTGTTTCCTACTTAGATTTTATGTGACTTTTATTTTGACATCATACTATCTGCTCACGTGATTAATCGCTCGCGCTCACGCTCACATTTGTTCAATAGAAGACACGAGAAGCTAGCTAGCAACTTAATAAGTTAAGCTAATGGCAGCGGACTTCCCTGGATTACCACTTTATAGCACCCTTTGATATGCGGAGCGAGGTTTGACTTGCCAGCCGGGCCGCCAGCCAGAGTTCCCCGGGCGGCCCACCATCGTCTGGTTTCCCTCCCTCCCGCCCCTTGTCTGTTCCTGGTCTGTTTAGGGCCATCTGGAATTTGGCCCTTGAGGGGGGAGTTCTGTCACGGTTTGGGTTAATGTCTGGTTTTATTTTGTAGTTTCCTTCCTCTGTTCTCCCTGGGTCATGTCACTTCCTGCCTTGTCCTCCCGTCCGCTGTGATTGTCTGTCAGTCATGATTGTTCCCAGCTGTGTCCAATCACCTGCACCTCCCTTGTGTATTTAAGCCATGTGTGTCTGTTGTCACTTGTCGCGTCATTGTTCATTGTATGGAAGTCCTAGTCCCTGTCCACGATCTTGTTCTCGTTCCTGGTTCCTGTCTTCGTTTTTTGCCCCTTGGCCTTTTGCTTTTGAAAACCCTTTTGACAATTAAAGTCCCTTTTCTTTTTGAAAACTCTGCGTCTGAGTCCTACCTTCCCCGCCATGCAGCTCCCTGACAAAAAATACTACTCGCAATAGTAGTGTTGGTGTACAAGACTGAAAAGGATACCGTATTTTCCACAATATAAGCGAACTTAAAAGAGCACTTAAAAGCCTTTCATTTTCTCAGTGCGCCTTATAATCCGGAGCGCCTTATATTTGGATCAATTGGTTAATTGGTTGATCCATACTGGTTGTACACGCGCTCAAGGCGCTCTGCTAAATATGCCAAAGCTCGGTCTACGACGGCGAGATGCTGAGCGGCGCTCAAGCGCGTGAGATGAGGAGCTTGTTTCAGGGCGCGTCGGAGAAAAAAAGCTGTCGTTCTTGCCGAGCACTTAATGAGATTAAAGAGCGAGAGACAGTGCCTTTTTCTTTACAGTAGCTGAACCATCTTAACGGGGAAAATAAGTAATTCTAAAAGGGGCCCTTGGCAGGCAGCTTGGCTGGAGAGCAGCCGAAGATTTAAGGCGTGGATGGCGAGGGGGGCGGCGGTTGCGGACGCACCTCGCAGCATCGATCGGACCATGAAAGCACCGTCTCCACCTCCCCACATCCCCCCCATCCACCCGCCCCGATGTCAAACGTTTGACTGCAGTGTCTTATGCGCCTTATAATCCGGTGCGTCTTATAGTGCCGAAAATACGGTAGTTATAAGTTACATACATTTGCTGAAAAATCAATAAGGGCTTCATTTAGTGAAATCACAACTGTGAAAAAGTGAATGTGTACAACAACTTTGTGGAAGTGGAAAAGAAGCCCAACTATGTGTAGCACTTTCCGTTCGTGCACCAAAATAACTCAATAATAAATCGAATGGACAAAATGCATTACAAAATATGGTATAGCAACTTTCACACCTCAAAGAGAGTGGCAGGAAAATAAGTAGTTACCAAACCATCTCCAAGTACCAGCAAGAGCCAAAGAAATGTTAACTGGTTCCACTCTACATATTATCCTGTAGCTCATGTAAACTTTAGTAGCTCCACTCAAAAAATATTTTAATTCTTAGCTTGAACTAGATCAAGATCCGTAAACGCAATGATATTCGACAAAACAATAACGTGTGTTGTGGACATGTGTGGATGGTTGAGGATGAGAGTATGCATATTAAATCTCACATCTCTTCGATTGTTAGATCTGGAGTCCACAATACATCCGAAGGGGGATAAATCTTCCCAATATTGCAGAAATCTGCAGGATTCCATGTTATGTCTTTGTCGTACCACCTCTACAGAGGAAAACATGGGAAAGGGCATTGAAAGACATTTGAGTTTCCCAAAGAAGAGAGAGGTGAGAATTAATTTAAGTGAAGATATGCTTTCTTTGCCCGAGAGTACTCACCAAAGTAACCCAAATGTAGGAAACAAACTGCTGTTTCTTTTCGTTCTATGAGAAAATCAAAACATGTAAAATGAAAGTTGCTGCATCCAGACTTCAGGGTAAATGTCATTAAACTCTAGTTTCTAAGAGTTTACAAAGAGACAGAGAATTTCCATATGACCCTACAGATGAGTCAGATACTGTGAGTGAACAAACATCTATTAATTAATTAACGCCCATTGAATATAAATTAGAAAAAACTCAGATCACAGAAACTAGAAAATCAGCCTCCTCAAACTTGAAACTCTTGCCTGGTTTAAAAATATCTTTACATTACAGACAAACACAGATTTGGTACGAAGAGAACTTTGTTTAAAAAGGATTTTAATTTATAATCTTAAGTAGCCACTCACCACTTCTAGAATGGCATAGAGACGCATGTCCACATTTACATATGTGGCTGATGAAGAACGAGAAGGCCGAGAAGGCCGGATCTTGGAGTTGTTGTTGTCTTTCACCAGGTTCAAGCGGTTATAAATAGCCCGATGGGAGCAGTCTGCGACATGGTTCATCACACCTACAGTGAAAACATCATGACATGTTACGTATTAGAAGGTCTAAGCAGGAAAGAAATCGCCACAAAATGTAATTTCAGACCTTCAGATTGTTGATTTACGACAGTCGTGTTCGTATCATTCTGGTTTGTATAGTTCCCCTGTTGAAGCTTGGGATATTTTGAGTCCTGGTTGGTACTTCCATCTAGCAATAAAAAGTACACAGGTTCAACTTTTATTTAATTGCAGGAATTTAAACAAAAACTCTAAGAACACACAATAAACTTTTTTGAAGAAAAGATTTTGACTTTTTGTCTTTTTTTTTTTGTTTTGTTAGAAAAGTATCTTGGTAAACAGAATGTTTTGAATGAATATTTTCCCACTGAGCTCTGGTGGTTTGAAGATGTCTGTCGTTGAGATGTTGAACCCTGTAAAACAACAATTAAACATGTTAATATCATCATTCAGGAACACTGTCCCCGTTTAAGAGAATTATCCACTGCAACTGAAGGGTTTTAGGAACTAGATATCTAAGGTCAGCCCATGTTAATCCGTATACATTTAACAAACAATCATTTGTTAAAATACTAAAATACACACCTTCATCATTGTCCTGATTGAAGTTTGGTTGATCATCATGAAGCTCTGTTTGTTCTGAAATATTGGAGGTGCTCCCACCTGACAAAAGAAGTTCACAGCCTTTAACCTGATTCCACTGAGTGGGTTAAAGGCTTTTAACTGTGTTAAAAACCACATTGAGGACAGTTTTTGGAAACAGCTTGAAGTATTATTTTTAGTCAAATTCTGTATTCTGACAAATTCTGTATCGTTAACCGAACCAAATTCCCCCAAATTGTGTTGGGATGAAGAATGACATTTCCAGCCAACAGAAATGTTCCGTCTTACCTGAGACGAGGAACAGAAAGAAGAAACCAGCGAGCATCATGACTGTGACCTCGTCCTCTATGGTGTCTGGAAACGTTTGTCAAGGTGTAATCACCACCCCTCCTGTTATTGGAACAGGGACGGACAATTTTTATGGCCAGCCCTTTGTTTTTGTGATTTTGTGACGCCCAGGAACTGCGATCATCCCCCACAAGCTGTCGACTGTGTTTTAAATGAAATACACAAAGATAATCATTTTCTGTCAGGAACACAAAGAACATTCTTTAATCACAAGGTTCTCACGAGTCACCAAAAGACTGTGGTCTCCACAACTGACAAAAACATAAATAGGTCTGTGTTTGTTTAAGGAAAAATGCACAAATACATGAAAATATACATGCGAATATGATATGCCAGTGAACTAGAATTTTACAATACAACCAGAGATCTCCATATTATATACATGCATTAAATGTTGATTTAACATGCAGTTAAACATGCAAAAGGCATTTACAAAACACTGAACTAAGGACACATTTCTTCAGCAGCTTTGCCAAAACAAGTGTGGAAAATGAGGCTTTTATAATTGGACATATTCAACAAAACCATGTCAAATAAAACCACTGTCAGAACCTGCTGAACCTTCTCCTCTTCCTTCCCGTTGTTAAGGAGAAGGGACAATGTTTTCTCCATCTCTCTCAGCTCGTCCGAGAGTTTCTCAGAGGCATGGTGATATGTCAGTGTGCTGTTGTTGCCCTGCAAAAAAGGGCCAGTAAACCGGTGAATACAAGAATGGAACAATATCATATGGTTCATACGTGAGTCGATTCTAACCTCTTCATTAGTCCGACAGTCAGATGGTGGTCACTCCCACTGTGGTCAGTACATCGTGTTTGAGTGGTTTTTAAGGGGAGAAATAAGAGGTTGGTGGAGACTAAATGTGCTGTAATGAAAACGTTGCACTTATTGCAACTAATACTACAACAACAAACATTTAGCTGCTTTTTGTTATCACACCATAACACAATGTATGTCTAATGAGTTTAGTGTGTTATTCTATGTTCTGATTGGTATATACGTGTGTATTTACAGTTGCCATGGTGAACCAGCTGATGCAATTGATTGTACTCTTTGTAGTTACATCAAAAATTTGGTGGAAATAGATATGATGTCTTAGTAACACTAATGAATTCTGTGGTACTTGGCTAATAGGTTGTCGTGTAGCAGCTCCATCCAACTTTAAAAAAAGAAATATTTACGTGCGTCATTCGCATCTGAAGAAGGTCAGATCCACAGCCAACGACCGACTTAAACCCTCAGCATCCACCTGCTGACTCCAACTATTGGAAAACAGTCAATATCATTTACATCACACTGCAATTCAAGATCAAATTTAAGTAGCTCCAAATTTCTTTTCTTTCTTTCTGTGTCCTGAGGCATGAACAAACACAATCTCTTCATGTCATGTTTGCAGAAGGACACGCCATTAATCACGAGCTGAATGAAAAGATGGAGCTTCACCTGACACCACCTCAGGGTGATGTTAGCTTATCATGTCTTCCTACAATAGTATAAAGACTGTTTTGTGTTTACTTTAATAAAAGTGAGCAAACATTAAAGTTATTAATCTTCTAAACAAATACAAGGTGCACAGCATCAGTACATTCTACCATCCAAGAAGCAGTCACGTCACCAGCCGTGAAACCTCAACTCGTTTCCTTAACAAACAAGTTGCATAAACATGTAAATGAGCTGCTGGTGGTGGATTCTGTTTTGCTTCAGGCACATCCAGGTTAACATCCTCTAGTATTCAGTCCTTATGCCAAGCAGAGTCTACTAGTTAGTCAAAGATGGTCCCCTTACTTTAAAAATGGGATTTAAGGTGTTTTTTACAAACTAGAGACTCACTGGAGTTTTGAGTGATTCGCTAAAAACTGAGCCAGGTCACATGAGCTGGGTCCATTGTTCATTTTGGAGTTTCCATTTAAGTGAAATTATTACTTTTTTTATAATCATCAACTTTGATCTCACTGATACTTGCTACAACTATTGAAGGGCTTGGTCATTTGAACGTGACATGGACGAGTTGAGGGATTGAGAGAGAATGTGTACAGAAGCTTAATGGCATGAAGTCTAAAGGAAAGAGGTGCGGAGTGGGAGAGGGATGATTAAAATGTATTCATATTATAGAATATATGTAAGTGGCATGATGGTGTGGTGGTTAGCACTGTTGCCTCACAGCAAGAGGGTGCTGGGTTTGATTCCGCCCAGAGGCCTTTCTGTGTGGATTCTCCCCGTGTCTGCATGAGTTCACTCCTGGTACTCTGGCTTCCTCCCAAAGACATCTCTCTGGATTAGGTTAATTGGTGACTGCAAAATCTTTGGTGATATCGCTTTAGTGAAGGTGTTTGATCTCAAAAACAGGAAGAATTTGTAAAATAACAGCATTTCTCTACAGAACTTTAAGCGATATCCCTACATTGAAAGTGTTTCGTACCGACATTACGCAATCTATGAAATAAATGTTATTCTCTGTAAAATTGTCAAGGAAAATTTATGGTTTTCGCACTTCATTAGAATTAAGTTATTTTTGTTTGGCAGCCGCTGCTGCCAGTCATTTGATCTTCTTTTTACGTTTTTTTTTTTACAGTGTAGTTAAGACTGTCGGCAAAGAGAGGGAACTGGAGGCGGTGATGTTGGATGTCCTACAATCCAATTTTGTGTATGGGTCAAAATGCGTGATGATCTGAGTGGGCAACCCTCCGTGTGTTAAGTGGGCCGGATTGACAGTAACTGCCGGTCCACTTTTTACCCGCAGTCCGCCCCTGCATGTGTCTCAACTCGTACTGCACATGAGCTCTTGTGGGTTGCATTTTAAACAATTATATCAACCTTGTTGTGGCTTCTACGTCAATGTGACCATTGATGGATCAGCTTCTGAAAACTATTTAAATGCTGATTTTAAACCCTCCGGTGGATGCTGAGCGTCTTCAACCATTTAAAAACACAACACAAGGTTTTGATATATTTATTTCAGCACACAAATATGTTTAAAACGGTCATTGTTTTGCTTTTTGCCTTTTTCAAAACTCAAACATTATTATTATTTTGTGATTTATTCCCCACACATTTTATACAATCTTATTAAAAGGCAATGCCCTAGACAGCTCTGCAGGGACCTTTTCTTCATCAACACTAAAGATTTTGGCGCCACCAGTCTGCAGGATAGAGTAAATACAATTCAAGTTATCTCATTTAAACTGAATTAAATAGATTCACAATGAGACATTGTAGATACCAAACATGGCACAACTTCTAGATTCTACATCAAATTCATACGGCATGTGTTGACTTAAAGGTTTAACATGGTTAAAAAGGTTTAAGTGGTCCATGCGATGAAGATGAGGATGAGGAACAGTGACACGGTGGCGATGTAGAAAATGAAGAAAGCTCTGTTGATTCTTGCGGCCAAGAGGCCAGACTTCCCTCCGTCCTGTCTACAGACGAGGTGCAGATTCAAAATATTCTGCAACTCCTTCAGCTCCTCCAAGATCAGCAGCAACGTGTCACTCTCTCGGGCCTGAACGCTGTTGTTAACCTGCAAACATCAGGAGTCACGGAGTCATGACTGGGATTATGAATGCATTCATGTCTCAAGCCAGGTGGACACAACCGCCTTCTTTACTGTCTGCCACCTCATTAATACTTTGGATGGTTTAATGAGATTAATGCCCTTAGGTCATGATGTAAATGTACAAATAGAAATATACATGTAATTCATAAATGTGGATTATTTTGTGGATGAAATCTAAATCAAAGCATTTGGGGTCGCTTTTAAAGCAAAGCATTTAATTTCACTAAAAGCAAAAGGAATCGTGGAAAAAGTAGATGCTCCGACTTCAGAGCAATTTATGAAGTTCAAAATCTAACCCAATTTTAATGACCTGGAATCTACATTTAACCTGATGAGACAATACATTTTGGTCTAAAACCCAGTTTTGACCACCTGTCTTGTGATAATGATGTTTCATTGGAACCGACATTGTCTTTACCTCTTGAACCATCGGCAGCAATTCATGTTGTTTCTCACCATCTGACGCTTTGCAGATGCTCAGACAGCCGCTTTGTCTTTTCTCCTCTGAAAGAGATGGTTGCACAGGAAACGTGATCCACTATAAAGCTGCATAGGAAAAGCACTTGAAATCATGGATTGTGTTTTTCTATTTGATCACATTCCTGTGACCAAATGCAAAAGAGAAAACATCCATAGTCATAAGTCAACGAGGCCCCACAAAGGATGTGGATTTATAAGGAAATAGCTGATCTAGAAAAGCTTTCAAGGCCTAAATTACCTCAAGGATGTAAATTACGACTGAAAAACAGAAATAAGTTCCTCCAGACGTTTCCAATTAACAAGCTTCCAATAAGATCTGCGTCTCACCTGTGATGAAGGTGTCCTGCTTGTTCTCCCTGTTTTCCCTCAGCCTGATCTTCTCCTTGGAGGCACAGTCTTTCTCCATGAAATATGTAACCAAGATGGTCTCCAGCAGGCTGAGCAGCATCAGAGCGAAAATCACGACGCAGTAGGTGGCTGAGTGGAGGAGACAAACAATAACTGCCTTTTTGTTTTGTTGATCTCTTGACCTCTCAATGAAGCACATCACGGCGTTCAGAATGCCCTGAAAGCAGGAGTCAGTACCTATGAGGGGAGTCTTGTTGGACATGGAGGGCAGGATGTCATTGAGGATGAGCAGCAGGACGGAGATGGCCAGCAGTATGGTGACTTTGAAGCCCAGCTTCTCTCCTCGGCGGTCTTCGATGAAGAAGGAGGCGAGATCCAGAATCAGGAAGAACAGGATGGGCAACAGGTTGGCATGTGACTTTTGACCTCAGACATGAGGCATGTGACCGCCGCCATTTTGAAGTCATGCCCGGAAATGCGTCATTTTACGAATGGAAACGTGAACCATTTTTGACGATGATGTGCGTGGTTTTGATTGGAAATTTGCCATTTCAGGGGGTGTTTTATGCGATGGGCGTAAGTTTTGACCGGAAACACGGGACTGTAGGAGGGGTTTCATCATATATATAGATGTGTTATTCACCTCCACCACTGTTAAGGTTTCGGAAGCTCTCGAGGGAGGCCTCACTCCTGGTTCTCGTCCCGGCCGGAAACGAGGACACGAATGAGTCAATTCGTTTAAATTCAAAAATCAAAAGTTATTTAATAACTGAACAACGTAATAGGGATTACAATTACAAAGTGAAATACTAAGCGAACAGTGGAATATTTCGCGAAATAGAGAATCCTCTGAGCAAGTCTAAAGTGACTTATCAACGCGGCTGCAGGAGAAGTTCTAACAGTCTTTTCCCCGCCATGGTCCTTTGAAAACTCTTGAGGTGTGTCTTCTTTGGTGCATTTGAATGTCATTGGCTTCTTCTCCAAAGGGTCTCCTCCTCCATTGTCCCTTCCACGTCGAGGTGTGAAGCTGCAGCTGTAACCTGAAACCTCTCTGTCCTAGCTGTCCCTCACACTCCAATGCACTCAATGTAGATACATTCGGCTTTATGCCTCAATGAGTGAATCTAACAAAGCATACATCGTTTGAGTCTTCATCTTATAACTAGTACACTTTCATTACAACAACCCATCATTAATGATCACCGTTCATCACACTTCATCATAAGATCTAAAACAGTTCATGTGGTTCAATTCTCAAGACATTTGCCTCAGTCGGCTGCCTCGCAATAAGTTGTTCATTTTATTACCTGACAGGAGAAAAAACTCCCAAAAAACCCTTTTTGGGGATAAAATTGGGAGAAATCCATAAAGAACGGCAATTGGCATCCGTCCCCAGGTTTTAACATCACATTGTGACAGAATGTTAATGTGTACAGTGTTTATATGATTTAAATGACTATGAATTGTGTTTGATTGAAATTGCATTCACTTCATCTAACATGTTAATGTAATAACTAATATCTAATAACACACAACCTATAATTCTAACACTAAACATTATTACACATACTATAATTCCCTGACTAGGGGTGCACTTCTGGCTTAAATCCCTAACACCACCAACGCACTCATTTTGGACTCATCCGCTGTTGCTGCTGCTGTTGCTGCTGTTGCTGGTTCCGCTACTATTGCTGTGCACACGGATTCTTTGCAAAATGCAGGCTGCATATTGCATGGAGCAGGCCGCAGAGACTGACATAGGTATGTCTACAGAAAATAGCCCATGCTATGCAG